CCCATCCAGCCCCTGACACACTTCTCCAACAAACCTTGCCAAAAGGCTTTGCTATAAATTTATTTTCCTTTCCCTTAGCAGCGGCACACGAGATCAGACCTGCTGTACGAGCCGAGTTACCTCGGGATTATAAAATAGCTCAAACTGGGGGGGGAGGTTGAAAAGATTTTAACAGCCCTCGTCCCTCATCCAGGCCACCTCCAGCATCCCCACGCTGGGTGTTCCTGCAGGGACATCGAGAGCATCTGGGGGCAGGGGGTGGCCAGGCCACAGGCAGGGGCTGCCTCCCCCTTTCAGACAGAAATTCAGCTTTAAATAGTCCACGTGGAAGATCCTCGCCTGTTCCCGTAGTCGTCAGGGGGAAGGGATGGGGATGGAAAAGCGCGGCGGGACGCGGCTGCTTCCCCAGGTGCGGGCACGGGCTGCCAGTGCTCCCAGTGCAAGGGGTCAAGCCGGGGCTGGGTGGGTGCTGGGCAGGGCTCAGCCCCGAGGGGATTGCAAAACTTGCTGCAACCCCGGCGTTTGGTAACCGGTTTCAGAACAGAGGTCGTAAAAAAAAAAAAAAACAAAAAAAACCCCAAAACACCAAACCCCACACTTCTGATGTTTCCCTGCTGCTGTTGAACCCACGTCCCCGCGTGTCACCGGCTGCCACGAGCCGGGGTGACCCTCGAATGAAGTCAGGGCCACAGGATGAGGCCGTGGGGTGAAAACCCCCAGGGCAGGGATGAGGTTGGGGTGTAAACCTGCTCTGGCCACACTCGCCGGTGCACCGCGGTGCTGACAGGCAGAGCCTTCCCCTCTGAGGCGCCGATTCTCTCTCCTTCGCTCCTGCCCGGCTGCGGGGTCGGAGCCAGAGCCCCTCTCCCCTCTCCTGGTGTTTCAGCATCTTCCCGGCCGCCCTTAGCCGCAGTCTGGGGACACGTCTTGCCTTCCTTCAGCCCGGCTCTTGGCTCCATCGTCCCTCACCCCTGTGGCTGTCGTCGCAGCCCCAGCTCAGCAGTGGCGGGGGTCAGTGTGTGCCAGAGGGTTTTGCCCCAATTCCCTGGGGACGAGCGGGGTTTCCCTCCAGCCGGGAAGAACGTGGATGTCGGTGCCCGGTGAGCAGAGGTGGGGGCCGGGCTGGGCGGCTGCCCGCTGCCTGGAGAGGCTCAGGCCATGGGCATCATCACGCTGGCGTAAACCGTCGTGGGCTCCTTGTCGGGGCTCTGCAGCAAAGGGCAGGGAAGCAAAGGGGTCAGTGAGGTGCCTGAGCTGGGGGGAGCCGTGGGACACCCTACGACACCCAGCCAGGGTGAGGATTGGTAGGGGAGGGCAGTCACCCTTACCTGTAGGAGGGATGGGTGGCCCTGCGGGGCAACGGCCTCTCTCAGGGGGCTGCGTGGGGGGCATGGGGGTCTGTTGGGGGCCTGGGCTGTGTCTGGGGGCAGGCCGGTGGCTGCAGCGTAGATGGTGGTGCAGGAGAGGTCCTCGGCGGTTGGAGCCACTTTCTGCTTCTGCACAGAGAGCGAAGGATGAGCAACAGCAGGCAGCTCAGCACGGGGGGCCCTTCCCTCCCTCCACCCTACACGGACCCACTGTTTCCTCCCCAGTTTGCTCTGAGAAGGATTTGGGGAGTGGGGAAAAACTCTAAGTCTGTCCCCAAAGCCACCCTGGGATGCGGAGGCTGGGAAAGCGGCAGCACCCAACCTCTTTCCTAGTGATTCCCAAAGGAATGTGGCCAGGCTGACAGGGATGGGGGTCTCCAGGGAGCCCATGGCCACCCCAGTACCCCCCCAGCCACAACATCACCCTCTCCCTCACCAGCCACGGGGCTGTGCTGACACCCAGTGACCCATCCCAGAGGGTGCCACAGAGCAGCGCGAAGGCACCCAGCAACACCCTGGGGCTTTGGGTGCTGCTGCCCAAATCCAGTTTGTCCCCATCCAAGATGCCCAACCCTGGCAGGGTCGTGCCTACGCTCCCCCCACGGCTGCAGCTCTTGGGGTCCCGCCACTAACGGAGCTTTTCCATCGCTAATGGAGCATTTTCCCCCCACGCGGGTCGTGGCTCACCTCCACCCGCTGCACTTGGGAGTAGATAGTGTGCACCGCGTTGTACTCCACGAGCGGCGAGTGCTCCCGCTTTTTACAGGCTGCGTGAGGATAAAACAAATCACCGAGCTGCGAGGGGAGCTGGGAACGGGGTGGGGGGGACACCGTGCTGGCTCTGTCCCTGCTGCCTGGACCCGGCTGCATCCCCGTGGCTGCAGCTGCCTGGCCACGGACGGAGGATTTCTGGCCACCACAGGTCAGCTTTGCAAATTTGTTGCTACGCGGGGAACGAGAGACGGGGGGCACAGCCCAGCTGAGGCGCTCGGAGAGATGATGCTCTCCCTAAACGGGGCTGGGATCGTTCAATTCCCCTTGAGACAGTGCGAAACGATCTCAGCAGCTCATCATCTGGGTAAACCATTAAAGATCATGTGCAAGTACATTTATCTTTTTTTTTTTTTAATTTTTTTTTTTTTGTAAGCTGGTTTCCCTCCTGCTTTTTAACTCTGTGCTTCAAGAGAAACACGTTTCACTCCTTCCCAAAGGCCAGGGTGCTCTGCAGACAAGACGCCTGCAGGAATCAGCCCCTCTGGCTGGGGGGGGCAGACCTTTCCCCCCTCCCAGCAAGGCTCACCCCACCCATGGACCACCAGCCACGCCCAGCACCCCTCCCTCATGGCACTCACCGGTGGGCATGGCCAAACTGTTGGTCTTGACCCTGAAGAACATCAACGCAGCAATGACCACCACCACCGCCACCACCACCACCACCACCACCACCAGCTGCTTCACTCTCAGCCCGGCGCTGCCTGGCATGGGGGGGGACAGAGAGAGGAGGGGGTCAGCCACTAGCCCTGGGGCCAAGGGTCACCCAAAGCTGAGTAGAATGGGCTGCTAAAATCTTTTTTCGTCTCATCACCTAGTTTTGGGCTGATGATTTGAACAGGAAACGCAAGGCAGGAAACAGTTCTCTTGAGCAGAGCTCTCTTTAATCACCTCCAGACAGCAACAGCCAGTGAAAAACCTCCTGGGGGTCAGATCAGGGCCAGATAAAGCCCTAAAAATGTCTCTGGTGGCTTTAGAGAGGCCTACAGAGGAGCAGTCCCTTCGCACAACAGCCTTATGTCATGGATGCCCCGGGTCAGAGCTCTGCGGCTCACACCGTGGGGAGGCACCCGGGGTGGCCCCGCTCCTGGACCAGTAATGGTGACACCACGCAGGGGTGTCCCACAGTGCCAGGGGGTGAGAAACAAACCCAAACTCCCCCCCACCCCGCCTCCACCCGGAGCATCTCATTTCAGCATCTCCCTTTCCTAAGCAAGAGTCCCAACCGTTTTTCCCACAGGGATATTTTCTCGGCACGGGTCACTGCGAGAGCCCCAGCAGAGATGTGGCTTCGCCTGCGGGTCCTCAGGGAAAGGGGCAGCTACCGCACTGCCCCGCCCCAATGAAAGTCCCCCACATCACGAGGGAGTGCTAGAAAATCCCGGTGACAGAGAGCGTGACTTTTGCCCTGAGAGCCTACGAAGGGGAAGCTGTCACCGAGGTTTTGATCCTCCCCAAATCACACGGAGCGCGAGTCTCATGCATTTAAAATGAGCCTCGAGCACTGGGGCGCAGCGAGTGCGGTGCCAGGGGAGGCAGGTGGGACCCGCAGCTCCGTGGCCGGCGTTTACGGGAAGGCCTGGGTGACCCTGAGCAAGGTGACGCAGCGACTGATTTCTTGCAAAAGTCTCCTCTGAGACTGCCTAAAGCAGCGTGAAAAAAGTCCCCTGCAAAGCAAGAACAGGACCAGGAGGCTGAAGAGAGACGAGTCGGCAACTGGGAACTTACCCCCTTGCTCGTAGCTGCACTCGGAGAAGTTGAAGGTGACGACTTGGCTGCTGATGGCGTTGCTGGCCGTGCAGGTGCAGGCGACGCTTGTGTTCTGCAGGGGGTAGGAGAAGTGCAGGAGGCTGCCGCTGCCGGAGCAGAGCCCCGAGGTGCTGGTGTCCCAGCTGTCCCAGCTGTAGAGGACGTTGTCCCCTCGCGCTGCCGTGCAGTTGAGGGTGACGGTGCAGCTGCCGTTGGCCAACGCCCAGCTGAGGACGTGGATGCTGGGATCAGACACCGGCTCTAGAGAGACGGAGGGAGGGAGGAGGCAAAGGTTTGTGTCTGGGGAAGGACGCAGACGTTGCCTCGGCCCCTGCCTGGGAAATCCTGCTGGCCTCTTCCAAACCCCCAGGAGGTGGAAAGGAACCACTCTGGCCCTGGACCCGCGGCAAACAGCATTAGAGAGGGACATGCTCTGCACAAAGGCTCTGGGAGTACCCAGATGGTGCCGCAAGAGGGTCCTGGAGTCACTGCAGCACCTTGACATCAGGGTGGATCATCTTCCCCCCCCCCCCC